TCACTAAACCACTCAAGGGGTGAATTTCTACAATACCCAAATACAATTTCGTTCAAGAATCTTCATTTCCGCACCAAAAAGTTTACTGCTTGCTCAAGAACTGAATCTGGGGTTGAACAGAACTCACCACCATCATCATCAGAACTTGACTGTGTAGGAACTGGGCTTGACGTGGAGTGTGTAGTGAACCCTTCTGAGGAATTCCCCAAAGACTCTAATTTACGGTTTCAAGATGAAGGGGTGTCATCCATGGAGTTGCTTCAGACGATTTTGGAATGGGTTTTGCTAATTTCGCCTTTCTTCTTCTGGGGTACAGCTATGGTTGCAATGAAGGAGGTTTTGCCAAAGACTGGACCTTTTTTCGTTTCATCATTTAGGTTGATTCCTGCTGGGTTAATGTTGGTCGGTTTTGCTGCTTCAAGGGGTAGAAATCTCCCTTCTGGATTCAATGCTTGGCTCTCTATTACACTCTTCGCTGTAGTTGATGCTACTTGTTTTCAGGTATCTTTCTTGCACTATCTGATCAATACCCGTTTTAGCTAAGATAGGTGAGTCAGTATTGGACTTGTTTGTGATTGTATCCTAGTTGAATAATTGATTGAGTTAGGTGGTTACAGAATACGCTTGACATCAAACACTATGTAAACTCAAAAGCGGTGTACAACGACTAGCACTACAACTGAATCTGATAGAGGGGGAATAGGTAGTTTTAATAAAATGAGAGTTGTTTTCTCTGTTGGTTTGATTTACTTTTATAGAATCAGACTGTCGGCTCCTGTTTGCTACTTTGTCACCTATGTTTGTTGGCTTAAGCTTCCAGTTAAGTACATAATTCTTTTCATTTGGGCAAACATTCTTTCTCATTAGATTTATATGGTGGACAGGGATTTCTTGCAGAAGGACTTCAGAGGACATCTGCTGGCTTAGGCAGTGTAAGATGAATTTTACTTTGTCATTGCAGTTTATTGTGTTATGCAGTCTTGAACTTTTTTGCTTGTGAGACTGTAATCAATGTTACGAAGAAGAAACATCATGTCCCAGGAAGTTGGAAGTGATTGTGCTGTGCAAAATGTTACTTGCATTTAGCTCTGTAGCATGTAGATCTGATATTGTATACCTTTGGTACCGTATAGAACTCTGAAGCTCCAGCATTCGACCTTTTAAATGGGGGCTTTTCTTACTGATGAGTTCAATGAATGATATAGGAGATCCACTCCAAATCTGCTTTGAGTTTCCAGGAACATCTCTCACCGTGTATATTTTCTTTTTGTATCATCTGATTGATATTTCTAAATTCTATAAATACCTAATTATAGACTCTTAGCTTTAGTGGTATAAGTAACCAAGTAGTTGCATGGAGTCTAGAGTGAATGAAGGATCAATTAGCAATTCTATGAAACTAATTGGTGCAGCTAAAAGAAAAGGAAGCAATTGATGACATTCAAATGATTAGGGGACCTAATTTAACAAGATATTATCGTGATTTCAGGTGATAATTGATTCACAGCCTCTGACAGTGGCTGTGCTTGCAGCTTTGTTATTTGGAGAGTCCATAGGTTCTGTCGGAGCTGCAGGTCTTGTGCTCGGGGTGATAGGCCTTTTACTCCTTGAGGTAATATTATCAGGAAATAACCAATTTCTGTACTTATTTTCCTGCGAATGGCTAGGGTTAGCCTTGTCCTCCCTCTGGAAACTGGGGATGATAATTAACAGAATACTAATTGATTCATCTTTGGCATGTGTTTGTGCTCTAACTAAGTCAAAAGATGTGGTGAAGAATATGATACCACAGACAAATTTTAGGTATCAGAAATTTAAAATTTTAAGCTGAGATTTTACCAAATTCATGTCTGTTGGAATTCATGATAAACAGGAGACTAGGTAGACGAATGAGGTTAAAGATGAAGGGTAGGATGCGAGTATGTGAAAGGCATTTGGTCAGAGAGTAAATTTAACTCATAGCATGTTAAGCCCTTACAAGTGATAGAAAGGAAGAAGTAATCTGATTTCTTTCCCACCAGTCATACCAATCAATCAACACGAGGAACTGTTGAAACTTTAAGTGGTGTCCACACTCAGATCTTGCAGATGCTCAATCTTGTTCTGGATATGTTATCATCCAAGACACACAGTGATGGTACATTGTTGATTGTAGACATCTATAGTAGAGTTTGTGTTGTGCTTCGTGCATGTACTGCTGGGAACCATGGAGCTTAGGTATCAGATTTTGAATTCAATCTCCTAGGAATTGAAGGTTCTCAGGCGCACTAAAATGTTACATAAGTCTAACTAGACCAGTGCATTTAGTGATAACAAATCCATAAGTATGGTAAGATCGTGAACTGCTAAATTTAACATTTAGATGAACTTTAAAAAAGTAAAAGAAAAACAATTAACCTTTAGAAGTAGAATTGGTGGAGAAAGCTCTGTTATGTCATTGCCACATAATACAACAAAGTGAAGCAATGCCAACTAGAAGTACTCTTGAGGATAATAGGTTATCAATCAGAAGGAAAAAAAAAGGAAAAAGGAAGAGGGTCATTGATTACTCGTGTGGGCCTGTAACAAAGTGAAAAAGAATCTCAAAACTCTGTTCTAGAGACTAGATGGGGAGTCAATCTTGAGCAGCAAGTGCATGAAGGCCTCGAGAAGTAGCTAAACCAGTGCACCCATTGCTGCTAATGGCGGGTGCCACCTTCACAAAGATATATATCTGTTTAAGAATTAGTGTGTGTGTGTATATATACATGTGTATGTATATATACGCATGCATATTTTCAAGTAAAACCTACGAGTGCCTAGGTCCCGTCACATGTTAACATGGGTCCTGTATCAGTCTCTATATGTATAACTGATATGCTATATGTTCATTTTTATGAATGTTGACATAACTTTTGCAGTGTTCAGTTCATTTTTCATGTGCATACACTTGTGTCCACGTAAAATCCATTCTCCCTTAAAAGAGGATGAAGATGATTTTTAATGTGTTTGCAGCAATATTTCCTTTCATTATTTCTGTGTATACTAGCTTTTAACCTGTTGGAAGTAGTACAATCATTAACTGGAGATTTTTTTCAATTAGGCCGCTAGCCCCACCCTAAACAAAACAAAAAGAAAGGAGAGTATCTTCATATCCAATGTATGAGAACCCTTTGATGGTTATAATCTTGCTCCATCCATTTCATTTTATATGGCGGTGTTTGAGTGGGCACGAGGTTTAAGACAGAAAGAAAGACTTTTGTCTTATAGCCGTAGTACCCTTAGAAGTTTTAAACATTGCCATGCCATTTCATCTGTTACAAGGCATGCCAATTGAAGTAAAGATATTTAAACTGAAGTTTCCAAATGGAGGTGTTATCTTTTTTTTTTGAACAGACTAAAAAGGGGAGAGTGCGATATAAAATGCAATAGGGGGAGTGTTACCCTTTTGTCAGTAACTAATACAGCGTTGAAATAACTGAGTTAATTGGACAGGTACCTGCTCTCTCTTTTGATAATAGCAACTTTTCAATCTGGGGAAGTGGAGAGTGGTGGATGTTTCTAGCAGCACAAAGCATGGCTGTCGGCACAGTAATGGTTCGTTGGGTTTCTAAATACTCGGACCCAGTCATGGCTACTGGATGGGTAGGTCATATTACTTTACTGCTGAATTGAAATTCATTTTATCATGTATCAGGTTTGAAACAGTGAATAACTAAGAAATCGTGGTTGTGCTGTCAAACGTTAGCTATAAAATTGGTCTACGTTCCCAATTACAGCTGCTTGACTTTATAGATTAAAAACAGAAGTTAGCAATGGGCTTTTTTACGTATTACTTGACTTCTGATACTGAAATCAATGGTAGCATGACTGGAAACTAAGTATGCTTCAAGTACATGGTTCCACAGAATAGTAGTGCACTATAATTTTGATGTCCAAACTGCAGTGCTAACTTCAGATACCTCCACAATTTACAGCACATGGTTATTGGGGGACTTCCTCTGGTGGCTATCTCAATTCTCAATCATGAACCTGTCATTAGTGGGAGTTTGATGGAACTAACAACAAATGACTTGTTGGCATTGCTCTATACCTCAATCTTTGGAAGTGCCATAAGCTATGGTGTATACTTCTACAATGCAACAAGAGGTATAGATTCAGGTCCCCTGATTGTCAACTTTGCATTATGCCTTACTTTTTTCAGTTACAACCAATATTGACTAGACTAAGCATTGCAGGTAGCCTGACAAAGCTCAGCTCCCTTACCTTTTTAACTCCAATGTTTGCATCAATTTTTGGGTAAGATTCCTATCAAAAGATTAATTCCTGAACAAGATGATGAAAGTTATTTTAATCTCAATCAATAATTGGTCATCACTTGCAACTGCTTCTAAGAAAAAAATATTTAGGACTATTGTTCAAAGCAAGAATATATTTGATTTGGTTTCTATCTTCACTTTTTGTTCTCCGCGTTCTTACCTTTTTAATCTACCTAAGTTATTCAACTCCAATACAGGTTCCTATATCTAGATGAGATCTTCACACCTGTGCAACTAATTGGAGCATTTGTCACAGTGGCTGCAATTTACATGGTTAATTACAAAAGCGATACAAAATAATATAGCTGTCAATCAACTGATCTCCCCTCCTTATGTCTGGATAGAGAAGAAAGCTCAGCAGCTTTCTACTCCATTTGCAGAAGAGACGTACACTGTATAGAAAATATTTCAAGATAATAGTAAGGCCCTACAAGAGTACACACACAGGTAAATATGCAGGCTGGAACTTGCTTGGAGGTAGATTTCTGTCCAGCCATGTACCATAAATCATGAAGGTGTATTATCACATTAGATGTAGAGAATGTTCAGGAATAATAACATTGTAAATGTTAGATTTGTGTAGAGAATTTTCATGCTACCACTGCATCAGGTTTAACATATATATCTGTGCCTATTCAATATCTTTGTACCAAGTTTGAAATTTGTATAAATGCAAACCTCCATTATTAGCCACCATATGTCTGTTAGATAACTTAAAAGATTATTTGCAACACAATACTTAAGTAAATGATACTGTAAACACTGAGATGAAAAAATTGCTAAGTGAGCAACCAAAACAGCGACATATCAATCCTCGAACAAACTGCATATATATCTAATAAGTCAAAGCAGCTGCTGCTGCCATAGGTGATATGTGAAGTCCTCTAGCTTCACTGCTGTTGTGAACTATTCCATGTTGCTGGTTATCTGAATCCCTCTTATTTGCAGTCATTCTACTTTTACCATCATCCATATCAGGAACATGATCAGATACTGTACACTTTTGAAAGGCTAATGGATTCATATACAGCCTACTGTAAGATTTTGGAGTCCAAGATTCGGTTGAATCAGCTGAATGTGGTTCTTGTGAGGACGAGGAAAACCTACATCGTTGATAACCAACAAAACTATTGCTTTCTGAGGATTCTAGCTCTTCCATAGAGCCACCATCAGTTCCCCTTCCAAATGTTGCATACTTCTGGATTCTGGAAGGCTCCATTGAGTCATCACTAAAGGCAACCTCAGACTCTGCATATGGGTTCTTTATTGCTAACCTACTCTGAGGATTGGTTGCTAAACAAGCACTGGTAATCTTGTTAAAATGCTCGACTGTGCGGTTGCTTCTTCTGTCTTCAGAGAAAGCACTGGATACGTTGGAACTAGTAGTTGAGTTGAAGTCAGCAACTGCACCAGGTGGAAGTGAAAATGAAGGGTTTCTGCTCTTTTGATGAAAGTTTTGTATGTCCTCAAGCAATAACTCAGTATATGATTGAGTAAGAGTTGACTGAACCCTATGATTAATGTCTATGTCCCGGGATAGCCTCGGTGACCTGCTTCTTCTTATTACCTCAGGCGCTAAGCTCTCGGATCCTGAAGCAACCATATCCACTGCAGCATTCCCTGAAACTGTTCTCAATGCTTTAGCTTCCTGTGCCAGCTGCTTCTTGAATTTGGCATATACATTTGTAAGGCCATAATCTGGAGCTACTTTGCTGATGCTAAGGCTTTCCCCAGTTCCTTTTAAAACAACTTTGCCATTGTTTATATTTTCTGCATTCAGTTTCTGCATTTGAAGCATACCATATTCATGTCAAATAAATCCATGAATAGAGAATTTTAAGCTAATTAGCATCTCCCCAGAGTTGCTGGAGACTAGAAAAGCGAACCTGGATATAGAAGGGCATTGTTTCATTGACCACAGGGTTATCAATCTCACTTGAAGAATTTCTTCTGAAAGGGGAATCATCCTCTCTTTTCCTGGAATTGCTGCGGCTAAGGTACAAGGGCTGTTGTTGAAAATTCATGTTCTCGGTTGACGCCTTCAAATTCATCTTCCCCGGAGACACTGACCGTGACCGAGCACGAGGAGATGCAACACCCACATTTCTCTTCACTTGAATCCTCTGAATATGAGCTGTAGAAATCAGGTCAGTATTCTTATCCAACACAAGAGATGAAACAGTAGCAGGCACAGACACCATCGTTCCTGGTCCAACATTAGCATCACTAGAAGCCAAATTAGCTTTCATTGGTGATTCAGATCTTCTAACAGGAGATCTACTCACCCTTGTACTATTCTCACCGTCACTTTTCTTGGAAAAAGAGTGCTTTCTACTTGTATTAGCTTCAAAAGGTAAAGGTCTGTTGGGAGATGAGCTTCTGCTAAGCCTCCCACATTGTATCAAAATAGTATCCACTTCATCTTTGTTACAACTCGAAGTCCTCCTCGATGGTGCAGAAGATTCATTTGGTTTATTAGAGCCTTCTTCATGACTTACCCTGTGTTTGATAACAAAGATTTCTCTTCTCACTACCTGTCCATCTACTTTCTTCTTTTCTACAAGGGTTTCTTGATTTTGTTTCACAAGTGCAAGAGGAGGAGAAGAAACAGAACAAGTGCTCTTCTTGCTCAAACAACTCCCCATTCTCTTTAAAACCCCAAAAAAATAAAGAATGAATGTGTGTTTTCAAGTTGGGAGAAAAAATGGTGTCTTGTAAGGGTTTGAGAGGGAAAAAGGAAGAAGAAAGAGACAAAAAATGGGTTATGTGAGAGAAGCAGGTAATTCCAATTCAATTTTTTTTTTGACATAGATATAGGGACATCGCAGAAAATTATGATTGTGAATATGTCCCACCCAAGATACCTATGTCTACCATGATTATTCTACATACTACTTTCCTTGAACATATCTAAATTACAGTAAATTATTTGTTTTATTTTTAAATATATTAAAATATTTATTTATTTAACTAATTGAAATTAAACATATTTTAAATTTTACAATATGAGTCATCAAATTTAGGAGTGTTTAAACATTTTTTTCGTCCTACAAGAGCTTAAAACCACTTGTTATATGACGTGATATACCGGGGGTATACTAAGTTTATTTAGTCGAATAGAGGTGTGTTTTTAATTCTATCAATAGTTCAGCTACAAAATTAATAGTTTGTGTGTAGTTCAAAGGTGTTTGCAGTACTTCTCTCTTCATTTTAATTTTTAAATATTGATTAGGGCTGCTTATCGGGTGGATCAGATAATTTCGCTTAATGATTTTGCCTATCAATTTTTTAATTTACTAATCTCTAAACCAGCCTATATGATATCAGTTGGTTCGTTAACAGATTAACAATCATCAAATAGTGTAATGGTTAACTTTTAGGGGTCGTTTGGTACAAAAATAAAAAATGCAAGGATTAGTAATGCAGGGAGTAGTAATGCAGGGATTGGTAATGCAGAGATTATTTTTACCAAGTGTTTGGTTCATTGTGTCTTACCTAGTTTTGTGTGTGGTTCAATACTCTAAAAAAAAAATCTTTTCAATTATACCCTTGAGTTTTTATGGGATTTTCTGTTTCATGTAATTGGGTCAACATAGATAATTGACGGACAATATCTTTTTTAATTGCGTTTTTAACTAGCTAGGAGAATAAAATTTTTATTGTCATGTTCACTATTTTCTCACTTAAATTATTTGAGAGTAAATAATTGTCATCTTAATAAATTGGAGTTAATATCTGAAAAGATCATACAACTATAATAAATTATAGAGAAAATTTATTGAACTTCGTTTTTTATCAATAAATTAAAAAACTCTTTATCATAAATTAAAATAAAAAATAAATATAGCAAATAAATTAAACTATATATATAGTTTAATTTTTGGATTGTTCTTAAATTCATACATTAACATTAGCATATTACTTGGATTATAATATTTTATATTAATAACAAGTAGATTAAATAACTCATATTTTAGAAACAAAAAATTATATCTAAACAATAAAATTTGTAAGTTAATTTATTTAAATAAATTTATTAGTATAAAATTTAAAATATAAAATAAAAAAAATAAACAGAATGATTAAAAGGATTGAGGGGATATTTTTGTCTTTACCTAGATTAGTCCATGATATTTTAGAGCTAATACCACAAAATGGAAGGTATTAGTTATAAATCCTCTAATACCATGTAGGTTGTATAACTAATCCATGAATTGAATATATATAGACGTAAAATTCTTACCAAACATAATACTAAATAATATCACACATAATACTTAAATTATTTTTCCTAATACTTCCTACCAAACGATCCCTTAATATCTCTATGTTATCTTCTTCTCTTTTTTTTTTAATGCATCTCAAATAAAAGATCTTATCATTATTTTAAATGCAGTGAGCAGTGACACAAAAAATAGTAATAGTACTCACAGGGGTAAAATATACAACTACTCTTATCATTACTGTATATAAAATATTAAATGAGGGTAACAGTACAATTATGATAATTATTAATGGATTAACGATTTATTTGATAGGCCCACACCAATAAATCGTTAATTTTAAAATTTTAATATGTTTATCAATTATTTCTTTGATAACTCAATACAAATAAGTCCATTTTAATTTAGCATGAAATTTTGTACAAATATTTGATAGTAGTATGTAAGCTAAGTATGTGTCAAGAAATTAGGACTATTCATCATTTAAATATATGATGGTAAAGGTCCCAACAAATCATGTTGCACAATGTGAATACGGTATTAAATTATTTTCAAAAGTTAAAATATGTTAGTACTTTTTATTTATGGATGTACCAAAAATATATCAGGTAAGTTTTGACACAGTGCAAGTGAGCACGTACTCGTAGAGTTAGGTGAAAATTCATAAATTCAGACAAATTTAATTTATTTATGTATGTACCAAAAATATATCAGGTAAGTTTTGACACAGTGCAAGTGAGCACGTACTCGTAGAGTGTCACGACCCAAATCCGGGCCGCGACTGGCACCCACACTTACCCTCCTATGTGAGCGAACCAACCAATCTGAACTCTAACAAATCAATATAATATCAACAGAAAGTAATGCGGAAGACTTAAACTCATTTATAAAATCAATAACTATTATTATTCCCAAAATCTGGAAGTCATCACCACAAGAACATCTATGATCAAAGTACTAAACTAAGAGTATTCTAAAAAGCTAAAACAAATAAAAGCTAGTCCATGCCGGAAGTTCAAGACATCAAGACATGAAGGAGAAGATCCAGTCCAAGCTAGAAGCGTTAGCTCACCCTGAAGATCCGGTGTGACGAAGACTGGCTAGAATTACTGTTGAGTTGAAGACGACGGCACGTTTGCTGCACTCCACAATTAAACAAGAAGAAAACAATAAAAGTAGGGGTCAGTACAAAACACGGGTACTGAGTAGATATCATCGGCCAACTCAAAATAGAAAACAGTATATATTAAGCAATATCATAAATCAACTAATATCCTTAGCATGCAGCATTTACAGTTACCATAACCCTTGGTTACAACACCAAGCACATCAATGAGGACTCACGCCTCCTCATCATACTCATTTGGGAATTAGGTTCATTAGATTGAATATATTAACATCTTTCAAAATTCATTATCCTTATTCCCCTCGTGTCGGTATGTGACACTCCGCTCCTCAATATACTATCCTGGTGTCGGAACGTGACACTCCGATCCTCATATACTATCCTGGTACCGGAACGTGGCACCCGATCCATATTCTATCCTGGTGTCGGAACGTGACACCCGATCCATATTCTATCCTGGTGTCGGAACATGACACCCGATCCATATTCTATCCTGGTACCGGAACGTGGCACCCGATCCATATTCTATCCTGGTGTCGGAACGTGACACCCGATCCATATACTATCCTGGTGTCGGAACGTGACACTCCGATCCTCATATACTATCCTGGTACCGGAACGTGGCACCCGATCCCCTAATCTCACTACTTTCATTCATCAAGCCTTCTTTTATACTAAGGCATTATCATTAACAAAGTAGATTAGGGTTTCTTTTCAAGATTTGGGATTCAATAGCTTCATCATGCTTATTTATTCATAATTACATAACCACATCATTCATGCAAGCATACAATTAAGCATATAGAAGGTTCACAATACTACTAACACATCTCATTCGCTATTAAGAGTTTACTACGAATAGCATGAAAACCATAACCTACCTCCACCGAAGATTAGTGATCAAGCAAGCAAATTTTCTCCAAAGCTTTGTGTTTCCCCTTCTCGATCGTCTCTCTCTCTATCGATTCCCTTCTCTCTCTTTCTGTTCTTTTCTTTTTCTTATTCCAACCCTCTTTCTTTTACCCTAATTAGTATATAATTAAGAATAAAAGATGGCAATAATGCCCCACTAATTAACTTAAGGTTACCTCTTTTAACCCCCAAGTAATTAGACTTATTAACATTAACCCACTAACTTTATAATTACGGCAAGAATAGTCAAAAACGTCCCTTAAAACGTATCAAGAAATCCGACCCAGACGAAGTTCAAAGAGTCGATTTCAGTACCCAATTTTCAGTTTTTCTAAGTGTTTTGAAACGAGACCCTGCGACGGTCCGTCGTGCCCATGACGGTCCGTCGTGGGGTCCGTCGTTTCTGCCAGTTTCTCCAAAATTGAAGTCTGCTGCTCAAAAGGACTAAACAGGTCGTTACATAGAGTTAGGTGAAAATTCATAAATTCAGACAAATTTAGTTTATTTATGGATGTACCAAAAATATATCAAGTAAGTTTTGACACAGTGCAAGTGAGTACGTACTCGTAGAGTTAGGTGAAAATTCATAAATTTAGACAAATTTAGTACTTTGTTCATAAATTTTATATTTATATTAAAAAAATTATACATGTATAATTTAATTTGTGAATTCACTAACAAAATTAATCGACTATTCTAAACTAAAATTTCAAACTTTTAATCACAACGTCGCCTCTATATATATACCAGTAAGGTTGAATCTATATATATGCAATAATATCACAATATAATGGAGTAACACCAATTTTGCATACATAATGCAGTATACTTTAATACTTGAAAAAAGTACTTGTCACTTTGTCAGTGGTGACCCCTTCCTCAGTAGCAAATGATTCCATTTTTTACTTTGTCTAATGTTTGACTTTGACAGGCCTTAATTAAATGACAATTAAATTATACTATTGAATAAAATTTAATATTTTAAAATATAATACTTAATTGTTAATGATAAAAACAAATTACAAATTAAGTAGTAAATTATGGATAAAGAAAAATAAACTGAAGAGGTACTCATTTGTTTAGTATAAACAGTCGAAAGAAAAGGCAAAAATAGGAGTGTCTAACTAGTAATTCATTATATTGTTTCTATTCATATGTTATTATTTTAATTTTTTTTATCTCTAACGAAATTATTTAGGCTTTTTTATTATATCCTTCTTAAGTGTTCTCTTAAATTTAAATTTTCAATGAATAAATATAAATTAATTTATTTTGATCAATTGGAACACAAGTTAATTATTTAATTTTTTATTATTGGCTAAGTTCATATTTCTAAAATTAATAACTTTAAAGAATAATATAGATTGAACAATATGGTTGATGTATTAATTTTATGAAAAAACTTATTTGAAGGCGACAAAACAGTTGTTGCGCGCTAAAACAATCTTTTTAACTCTAGTTACTTTCATTCTTTTGTTGTAAACTAGTTATTATTATACTTTAAAAAATAAAAATAGCATGGAACACAAGGTATTAATATGTGTGCTGAGTTTCTACCTCCTAACTCCAAATTTCTCAACTTCTATAACATAATAAAATATTGCCCCACAACCTATTTTAAACACAACTTGCCATAAATTTAACTTTTTCAGACCATTAAGATAATTTCACGTGCTTTTTAAAAACCATTCAAAACTAACTAGATTTAACAATACATCGTTATTGACTCTGTATACATTTTAAAAATATATAAATAAAAATGATGAGTTTTTTGAATATAGTAGATACAATATCTTAAAAAATGACAATAATTATTAATAAGGGTAGATAAAAAAGGAATCAAGTGTAAAATTATTCATGAAATTTCATAAAGTGAACAAATATTATTGCACATTTCAAAATAGATGATTAGACGGAGAGAGTATGTGTGAATGACCCCCTTTTATTTTTTTTTCAAAACAATAGCTACTTCTATATATGCCTATCAATGTTTCTATCAAAACTAGAAAGTAAAACAAATTTTATTGTACACTTAAAACTAAATTTGAATTCAAAACCAGAAACTAAAATAAATTCTCTAAATACTCTTAAAATTAAATATCAATAAATGTTATTGAGATAATGTTTTCAACAAACCATGTCTTGCCAAAAAATGATAAGAGACACTAATAAGGTTCGATGTTAAAAAATATATATTTTTGATCCTCTATTCTCTCATCAATGTTTTCTGCTTCAAGAAACGCAACTTTCTTCTTCATCAAATTTGGAACAGATCTAAATTGTAAAGTCTATTAGGGTTGATTCATAGCATAGCATATGTAGAATGCGTATTGTTACAATCTGAGGTGGAGCCAGAATTTTAAATTAGTGGGTTTAAAATTTTTAAATTGAAAAACAATTTTAACCTAAAGTAACACTAATCAAATTTTGAACAGTTTTACTATAATCTTCAATATTGTTCTAAGTGAGGTTAAAATTATTAAATTCACCATTAATATTTTAATAAATATTTTACTAGTTTAACTATTACCTTGAACCATTATTACCTGTCTGCCTACTAAAAGCTAAAATTTTGAAAAATAAACAACAATCATTTTAATATAATGAATTATCAATATGTGAAATAATCCTAAAATTAAAGATTAAAAATCAAATTTTGAGTAGATATTCAACCATGTAAAAGCAAAGAAATAAGAAAAAAATAAAAAGGGAGATATGAGAACGCATACCGAAGGCCAGATTCTAGATCAACTATAAAAGTTATAACATGATTTTTGAAAAGAAAAAAGAATTGGGGTTAAACATTTTTGAATTTTTAGAAATCATTAGTCACATGTTGTATTAGAGTACAAAACAAACACTACTTTTTTTCCTACTTTTACATTTACAGATTTATCCCAAAAATCAATTGTAGATACAAAAGTCGAATGATTTTACCGGGTGCAGAGATACCACTGGTCCAATTGTTTTATTGCGCTATTGAGTTATTTTTATATAAATATATGGTCTATGAAAAAGTCTAGGGTTTCAAAACAGTAGTTTTGCCTCTGGTTACAATAAGAATGACAAAAATATAACTAATTCAAAATAAAATTTATTTGACTTAGAGATATGTTAATACGTTTTATAACAATAGTCGGAGTCTCTTTCACGAGCAAATGAAGTAATAAATAACAGTTTTATCTTCTGTTCTGAATTGGTAATATCACATTTTGATTAATGTCTCACAAATATTTTTCAAGAAAAGTAGCTTTTTGAGGAGTCCGAAGTCAAAAGGGAAAAAAAGTTGTCAAAAATTTAAAAAGGTACATCAATTTTTTTTAACCAAAAGCGCAAAATCGCTCCGGACGAAGCTTTTCTTTTGACAAAATTGACGTGTTAATTTTTTTAAAAAAAACACCGAAATCGTTGTCATTTCGTCCGAAAAATTCTTTTTCCTTAAAATCGTTGCCATTGCAGCAATTTTGTAAAAAAAATTTTTATAAAGAGGCAAACAAAGCTGGCAACCTTTATTGTTGGCTTGCTGCAAAGATAGGAAAAAGAAATCGCTGCTATATAGCAACGATTTTAATTTTTTTATTTATTTATTTTTAAAAGCGCTGCACATGTAGCGATATTTAAAAAAAGGTTACGAAATTCCTTTTTTAGAATTTTTGATAATTTTTTTGCCTTTTTGGTTCCGAACTTGCTTTTTGAGTGCTTATATTTTCAAACAAAAGAAACTTAATTTATAGGACAAAAGTTTTGAAAGAAAAGACTTTTACTAGATTGTATTTATTACAGGTTCATGAATTGAAAAGAAAAATGTATCTTCGAGAAAAAATGACAAAGAATCAAAAAGCATCTTTCAAAACACTTACAACGTCGAGTTAAAACAAAAACGAATGTTCCAATACACATTCATGTATTTTGTATATTTTAAAACTTTTAAAAAAATGCATTTGTTTCAAAATTAATTTGAAACATTATCTCTTACAATCCTCACTTATTTCAAGAAAGTTTATCTTTGAAAAAATTAAAAAATTATTTTGAAACATTAATCTAGCAACATGTATCAATAATGGTGTCTTTTGGACTTGAACCAATAGGTAGTAAAGATTTTCTAAATCATTGACTACTTAGTGAATGAATCTTGAACTAAGTGGTTCATTGAATGAAATAGAAAAATATTTCACGCATATCATTATGTTCTGGTGAAACTCAAAATTCTTTGACATCTTACGATCATTTGTCCTGAATCCTTTTAGCTAAGTGCTTTAAGATTTCTCTATTAAAATCTTATTGAATCGGTCTCTACTTTGCATTTAGTGTGGTGAATTCATCAAGAATAATTTTGCATACTCCGACCAAATAGTCTATGAATTTAATTGAGAGAAATTAATCTCATCCTCCTTTATAAGAAAGTATCGATAAATTTATCATGAGTATTCCTATACACTCCAACCAAAATCAATTTATAGACTTATTAAGAGAATATAATCTCATTCTTTTCTTTAGAAGAAAAATTGATAAATTTATCAAGAGTTTTCTTACTGGCTCCAATAGAGATCAGTCTTATAATTTTATTTAAAAAGAAAAGAATTCCAATCATACACATCTACTTAGTTTATTTTTTTAAAAAAAAAATGAGAATTTTATTGATGTGCTTCATAGTTGTGACTTTACTTGATTTCCCTTTGAATCCAAGATTACATCATTAGGTAGAGTTATCATAAAGTACAATTAATTTACAACAATCTTTATTTTCATTCCATTCAAATTTCCACCGCTACCTATTTGCCTAACCCTTTAGACAAAGGATCTGTTAAATTAAATCTGAAGTTCACATATTGAAGAATATTATGCCTTCCACCAATAATTTCCTCATATGATTATGTTTAAGAACCAAACTTGTCTCGACTTGCGATTGTAACAATCACTTGAAGCCTGAAATATAGCAACTTGATTATCAAAAGAGATAGTTAAAGATATTAACGACTTACTCCAAAAGAAATATCTATTAGCATAGGTTGCCGCCAATCAACTTCTTCTCCAACAGAAGGCATAACTATAAGTACTGACTCCATAATTGAGTGAGTAATGCATGTCTATTTCTTTGATTTTCAAGAGAGCGTTGTTCCAATAAAGTGAAATTCAAGCAGTAATAGATTTAGAGTGATTTAGATTATAATTCTAAGTAACATCACTATATAGCCTTCAAGAATAGCTGAAAAGGTAGAATTATGTAGGTAAACATTAATCACATCCTTCAAATATCTTAAAACACGAATTAAGACATTCCAATGTTCAACTCCAAAATTACTAGTAAACTTCTACATAACCAATATATGATTTGATACAAAGCATGACCAATAATTTAAAAATATGTCAGTTGATCAAGAACATCGCTAGAGTTTCAGATTAGTTTGATATTAAGGTCAAATGGTGTATGAGCGAATTTGTCGTCAAAGTGACCAAACCTCTTTAGAACTTTTTCAATATAACTTGATTGAGTAAGATTCAAGCCATTCGTTGTTTTTATGATTTTAATACCTAAAATTACATCATCTACTCCAAGATCTTTCATTTCATATTGAGAAGTTAGAAAAGATTGTTTCTTTGACTCTTTTAATATCCGTTTCAAAGATCAACATATCATATATATAAAGACATATTATAACACAATTTTTTTTTTGAAATTGCTAAATCAAATTCAAAATTTTAATATTTAAATTTTTGTTTAAAATATCTAGTTAGTGTAATCTAATTTAATTTTGAACATTAACAAATTACTTCGATGGAGTAATTAAATAAAGGGAAAATTGTATATAATAGCAAACTGTTAATTCAAATTAAATGTTATAACCATAGTTTGATTTAATTGTACCCATAGCAAACTGTTGCTACTTCGACTCTCTTCTGGTGAATCTTGCTCGCCACTCTCGCTTTTATACAAACACAAATATATAAAAATGTGTTGGTTTATATAAAATGAGAGAATATTATATATATATATACATATATTTTCGTTCCCCTCTCCCAGATCTCGCTCGCTCGTCCCTCTCACTATATACAAACAAAAATATATACATTGTGTTTGTATAAATCAAGAGAAAATTATATATACAAATATAAATACATATATTTTCGTCCTATACACTTATGATTATACAGATACCTTTCCCCACCTAATTTTCTTTTGTTTTTCTCTCATTCTCGACAGATTATACAACTGTTTTCTTTTATATATGTATAATGAAATTATATAACTGTTTTCTTTTGTATATATAGCGAAATGTATATATTTATATTTGCTATGAAGCACAACAAATTATAATTACAACGCATAAATATAATTTTTATGTTTACTATATGCGAAAGTTAGTGAATAAATAAACTACATTACTAAACTATAGTTATTTATGAAATTTAAACACATAATGGTGGATGAATGGACAAGAGAAGAAATCCTTTGGTTTTTAGCTTTTGAGGCCTTCCAACATACGTCAGGCTCTTTAATTTACTACTAGTATTTGTTTTCTGCTTACAACCCAATACCTCTGTAAATTGGGATTTCATCATTTTCATCTTCGGCATTTGATCATGGCGGCAACTGCTCACAATAATCTCAATGCAAAACTCGTAAGTCTGATTCATGCATGCATCGATTCCTCTGTGTTATTAGCTTTTTAACATCCTTCGTTGCTTCTGTAAACTGTTTATTGATTAATTCAATTGATTGTTCAGGTGTTGTTGGGGGACATGGGAGCTGGTAAATCAAGCTTGGTTATACGATTCGTCAAGGGACAATTCCTTGAATTCCAAGTATTTTTTTTTGTCTTTCTCTGCGAGTTGCTTTTTAGGGTTGTTTTCCCCAATTCTCAACTTCATGTAATTTTGTTGATTTGTGTGATTATTACGTGACCGTTGCTGATAACAGGAATCGACGATCGGAGCGGCTTTCTTTTCCTCTACTGTTTCGGTTAACAATTCTACGGTGAAGTTTGAGATCTGGGATACTGCTGGTCAGGAGAGGTACCATAGCTTAGCGCCTATGTATTACAGGGGTGCTGCAGCAGCTATTATCGTCTATGACATCACCAGCACTGTGAGATTCTTTCCATCAACAACTAAATTTCGGTCCCAAACTAGCTAGCTTAAAAGGTTTTTATAGCCGAAATGAACCCGCACATCTAATAGCTTAGTCTTCCGATTCAGTCTTTTACAGAATTAACAATCAAATGGGTCTTATGAAAGCAATAGTTGGCTTTTTGCCAGTTCGTCAGTACATTGGTATTGTAATGTGGAAATGAATTATAGATTAATAGAGAATATATGCAACTTTATCTTATGCATCAATAAAGTTGCAAAGACATGTTTATGCTTGTTTTTCTATTACTTGTGCTCATTTTGCATTTAAGGACAATTTTTGGCCATGGAGAGCACATCTGGTCTTAAGTGGATAAGAGTGCTGGTTGATTTGTCATTCATGTTGAATTTAGGACTTCAGGCAGAATGTCAGGTCATGTTTGCTGTCTGCTTTTCCTTTGGCGTTTCTGCTTTTTTCACAATTAACATTATCATTAGAGGTTTGGAACTAGAAGTTTTAATCTAAGGGGGGCAAATATAAAGTCTTAAAGGATTTAAGTGAATGTTTTTGCTCTTAGGAATGGCCATTTTACTAAAAATGTTAAGAAGTTATTTAAAACTTGAAGGGTTAAAAGTTCCCTTTCTCGGATTTACCCGGTGAGGGTGGCGCTTGTAATCCAATGTTGACAGTTTTAATGTGTGGATCATACCTTTGGCATCCTATATGAACTCCTAGATCCATGAAGGACATGGACATCTGTAATCGGGTGTAGCTAAGCAAAGAGTGGAAAGAAGGAATCACAAAAATTACTTGTTGAAGTTATTTTTGAAAAAGTCCACGATATAAAATCAGTAATTCTTAGTTGTCTCTATAGAAACATTTGATTCCACCTAATATAGCTAGCTAGCTTCTTTAAGTCAAAAAAATAATTATTTCATCCTTTTTAACTTGTGTCAAAGTTTGAATAGTAAAAAATAAACATGTTACTCTTTAAAGTTCATATACTATGTATGGTGTTAAATCTCCTTAATGTAAAGGAAGTTTATAGTTTAGTAATAAATATGATTCAAACTGTTGCATACGTTATATGTATGAATTTAAGTGTGACATTTATATATATACCTGATTTTAAATTCTCTTGTTAGAATTTTCAATAAGGAGGAAATTTAACAACTTACAAATCCTTGAAAAGTCGTGACAATTGCTCCCGCTCTGGCGGAAGCGAAATTTTCTCCATTATAATAGCTGTGTTGACTACCAGGCTGCAGAAAGGCTGGCAGCAATGGCAATTTTGCATATTCAGCTGTCACCAAATAAAAACAATTCGTAACTTACCAGTGTGATGATATCTTCATCTAAGGAAAGAAGAATAAAAAAAGTAACTTTCCAAAAGTTCATTTGTTATGGCCAATACCAGAGATGGAGCAACGATTCGAACCTTATGGTTCTAGATTCTCGACTTCCAATACTAGTAACTGGGTTCTAAATTTGTTTATAAATCTTTTAACATGCATATATGATTTAGACCAAAATTACTAGGTTTATGCAACTCTTTTGTTGTGCATATGTAATTGTGTATGCCTATGCTATGCATGTCAACTTCGATACCATCTTCATTCTAGGTGTAATCTTCTCTTTCATTCTTAATATAGGATTCATTTGCACGGGCAAAGAAATGGGTGCAAGAATTGCAGAAGCAAGGTGCTTATCCATGAACTTTTCTGCTTTATTCAAATAGAAGATTTAGAATATTCTTCTTTCATCAGTTTATTGCATAAAATTTGGGGCTCTCCTAACATCTTTTTAATCTATTTCTTTATGTTGTATTGTATTTTTTTACTTTATTGCCTTAAGGACTCATATAAGGTTATTAATAGTATCATAACTTCATATTCATAGATTTTCCGGTGAAGTGATTTAGTTTTCTGATAATTGGGCAGGTAATCCGATTATGGTAATGGCTCTTGCTGGCAATAAGGCTGATCTAGAAGATAAGAGGAAGGTGACTGCAGAAGTAAGTTCTTCTTTCTTTTTCGGTGTTATGGGTAAATATGTGTTGCCTATCATCTTCTGATTTGAGGTTCCATTTGTTGGGCTTTGCCATCTATCTATTTCGAAATACAAGTCTTGTAATGCACCCTTCAACATATTGTCTTTGGTCTCAGCTCTATTATATAGTTTTTAGGACAGCTATCAAATATATATTGCATAATGATCTGAGACATAGCAACATGTTACTTGCCTCTAGATAACCAGTTCAGATAATGATTTAAAATGAAAATGCTCAAAATTTGTGGAGTAAACTTCCACAAACTGGTATCCAAAGCTGAAGTAGAAGTATGCTGGCTTTCCTTTTCTTTTGGTTGGAAAATCCTATTCTATGATTGAGTTTCTTGCACTTATAAGATAGGTTGTAGGAACTTGTGGGCTCTAAGCATTTGTTATTAATAACTTTATCTACTGATCAATCATTTCCTACAATATACCAATACTTGGGAAGTTCAGTTTCCTGATTGTTTTGGGGCATCAATTTCCTGGTATATAGTATTTTAAATACGGCTTTTACAGGAAGCACACTTGTACGCTGAGGAAAATGGCCTATTTTTCATGGAAACCTCTGCCAAAACTGCTGTTAATGTCAACGATATATTTTACGAAATCGGTTAGTTCCATTGTTTTGTTGTTTTGTTTTCATTTATTGCTATCATCTTTTCTTTTGGAAGGCATATGACACAGTATGTAATATAATAATCTTTCACCTAGGCTTTTGAGTGTTGTCTCTAAGTGAAATGTACGAGAACACTCTTATGTTATAGTTTTCCCTTGTTGCTATCGTTGTTCTATGCAATAATCTTTTCTGGGCATGGTTTTCAAGAATAGTTTGAAATCCTGAATATTTAGGAACTTCTGGTGGCATTTTCTCCTCAAACCCTCAGCTTACTGTATGGTAACACACTGTAGTCAGACCCAACCATCTTGTGTACTGTTCTGACTTCTGCTTAATCACATCTTGGTTCCAATTGATCCTGGAGTGAATGTGTGTGAAGCTTGTCCTGGAATACAGGAAGTGGCAACTTGAACGGTAACTTTAACATCCCTATCAGGCATCTTCGTTGATGCGTACTTGAATAAATTCCAACTGATGTAAACTCTTACAGATTTCATGTTACATGAATTGCAAGATTATGCACATTCCTACTTGTCAGTTACAAACTTATGCTCTTGTCACATGAAGAAAGCTATATGATTTTACTAAAATGGAGTCTTGAGGAGTTGATGCTTGCTTTATGGGTTACCTTCAATTTACATGCTAGATGCTATGCTAGGGGTAGAGTTGTAAAATTACCTCCCTTCAACTATTGAAAATTTTGAAGTCAACTTTACAAAGCAATTTATGGTTTTTAGTTTCTATGTATCAGCATAGGTAACAACAGGAAAATTTAAATATGTTTGATCAGCTTAGCCTAATTAATAAGAAATAGTATAACTTGAGGTCACCTTGCATGCAAGATAATAGACTGTAGTTGAAATTCTGATTATTTCCAAAGTCTCCATGTTGACAAATAATAGTTGTTATAACTTCTAATTATTTACATACAAGTAACATCTGTTATATCAATATTAAGTACTTTTACAGGATTTTCTTTACAAAGTACCCCGCTGTATTCCTTTTGTTGTTCAGGAATTGCAGTTCCAGAAATCTGGACTTGAGAATAAAAGGACTGGACAATCTTAATTTATGTCTGCTTTAGTAGTTTGAAAAACATGTATATAATCTCTTAAAGGTGACTACTAGTATACAAATACATGTAAACATTTTGATTGTTAGTTTATATAAAACAATAATTTGATCACTGTTTATATTGTTGAATTAATGCTGCCTTGGAAAGTGGAAATTCGGAAATTGAGTATAGAGCTTACGGCATTATGATTGGTTCCTTTTGTTCAACTTTAGTGGTCTGGTGTTCTTCCAAAGGAAGAGGAATCTTTTTTGGTTGAGTTAGGGGGAGCTTGGAGAAAGGATGTTATACATGGTGATACGAGCAAGGATGTATGCTTGGAGTAAACAGAGAAGTTGATATGGAAGTAAAGTGAGCGTCCTGATGATGACTGGAGTTTGAGTAGGTATAATCAGCAATTTTTTGTCACAAGGATCATACACCAGTTCTGTGGGAGGGGATTATAACCTCCAGTAACCTTCGTATTGAGAGGGGATTAAAGTGGGAGTAGATTGGGCTGCTCTACTAAGGAAAGTTAGTGAGTATTGACAAAGTTATGTATCATGTTGAATAAAAGGATTTCTGTGGGATAGCTTTGTGGGTCTTCCAGGACAGTGCTAATAGATCTCCAGCTTCTCGTAGTCAGAAATGTAGGTGAAGTGGTACAGATAAGAGAAATTACTCTTCTGCATTATATATTGATGCTATACATGGATATCCAAAATTGATGTTTCGGTTTACCTATTTTTTAGACCTAGCATTTTAGGATGTCTTTTACCTCTTTTGTTGTATCTCAGAGCAGTTGAATGTCTCTGTTATTAACCTGCTTCCCTGATTTTGTGGATGTGAATTCTGCAGCTAAACGATTGCCTAGAGCTCAGCCTGCTCAAAATCAGGCAGGAATGGTACTTGTTGACAGAAGAGCAGAAGGATCGCGAACTTCATCATGCTGCAGTTAAGTATTATCATCTCGATCGCTCCATTGATTTCGTGAACTGGAAACATTTCTTTGCTCTTCATGTTGTGCTGTTACGGGAAATGTGGAGCATGTTTATTGGGAGATATACAGTAGAATATGTATGTAAACTTTGAATTTAAAAGCGCCATATCTGAGATGATTCTCCTTTGTTCATTTAATCTGTATATAGTTTGAATTTACACCCAAACCAATTTATCTTGATAACTGGACGCTGTTACTCCCCAAAAATAATGGTTTAGGTGAATAAGATTTGCCCAATTTAGTTGTTGGAGCATAAGAATTTCAAATGTTTATTATGGATAACAGTTTGCAATAGAAACGAATCACTTGATAAGAGACTTCTGAAGAAATAAAAAGGACAAACATTGGTTTAGGATATAGGTTCATTTTGTTTTGTTGTAAAATAATATTCTTGTTTAACAACTCAATCGTATATTTTATTTTAGAGATTAAAAGAAAAAGAAAACAAGTGGCGAGGTTATTTAAGTATTTACGTTGAGGGAAAACTACTTGAGTCATAAAATTTAAAATAAATACAAATTTATATTTAAATTCAAATAATTCTTGAAATATTCGTTCACTTCTAAATAATTTCAGCTCATACCTCTATTCATTAAAGCTGGTAACTTTTTGCTTAACTGAAATCAGTGCCATATATTATATTAGTATTATTAACGTTGATAATTTCGTTGAAAGAATATTGAACTAATATATATTTAGTGTAATGACATAATTAAAATTTCTTGTTTAGAAATTACTAATTAGTCAATAATATTATATATATATATATTATTTGGAAATTATTCACTAGACAATATATATTTTGAAATATTTAAATAAATAAGCATTTATAAAGTTATTAATTTGTCAAATATAAAATAATTATGTAACTTTTACTTTTAAAATTTAGTATGATAATTGTTTGCATCCAAACAATATATGTATAAATTACATTGTGAAATACAACTACGTCCTTATAATTATAATTATCAAACTGATAATTACTATCTTATTAACTACACTAATTTTAACAATCAAACACTATATTAAAATAATAGATAAATAACTTTTATACGATATTTAAAAACAAACTAAATATGGATATAAAATGAATACATGAATCAGCAAATTATGTATATATTAGCTTTGGCCTTATCCAACTAGAGAAAACGACCGGTTAGAGACTACATAATTCCTACTTGTATGTTAAAAAAGTAAAGTTGTGTTAAAGCTTAATGTTTTTTGTTTTTGGAAGGAAGAGGTATGAGGATATTTGGGAAGCACATATTTCCAAGACAAATTGTACTATTTGCTTCTGGGTATGTTAATTATACACTTGTTGCTCTTTTGATCCTATGCAAAAGTATAATATTCAATTTTTTTTTTTTTTTTTTGTGGAGAATAGGATGTTATTTTTGGTTTCAACAACATAGGATGTGCATAAAGAACAACCAAACACCACCTTCAAAGGAGCAAATCCAAGCATTTGAAGACTATCTCAACCGCCCTTCTTAGGTGCACAATATGACACGTATTCCTCTTATCTACTTTTCATCTCTCAATTAATTTTATATCTACTAAACTAATATTCTGTACCTAATCACATGTTGTAATTTACGTTAGGGCCGTACGAGATCGAATTGAATTGAAATTTTTTTTGATTAATGGTTGGTTTTATTTGATTTAGTATTAAAAAAATTTGATTATATTTAGGTTGGTTCAATTTTAATTAAAAATAAATTAATTTGAGAACAATTCAACCTGATATTATATATATATATATATATATATATATATATATATATATATTTTATTTTTTTTAAAAAAATATACTTTGCATTAGTTTTTAAATATTTTATATACTTTTTTTTTATAATTTTTATCTTTTAATATATCATTTCAAATTTGAAACTTAGAATTCTGAATGGTTTGATAAAGATCAAGATGTTGGTAATTATAATAAAATTTAAATTAAAAATTAAATTAATACTAATGCAATAAGAGAATCAATTCAACACTAAGAATGATATTTAGTTTTACATTGATTTAGACAATTCAAATACATAATCTATTTTAATTTTCTTTAATATTTAATCATGAAATAACACTTATTAAACTTATTTAGCATGATTTAGTACTTGTAAATTATGATCATTTTCATTATAACTTGTTAATTTACAATATTTGTTTCATCATTATTATTTTCTGTTGGATATTTTAGTGTCATTAATTTTGTGTTATTTTCTTAAGAAACACATTAAAGAGTTTGTATTTTGATAGGAATAAAAAATATTTGAAGTATAAATAAATTACATGTTTGTATGAATACTTTACTCAAAAAAATCTCAAAAAATTTAAAATATCCCGAAATTGAAAAATCTAAAATTTATTGATTTGATTTGGTCCCAAGGTAACTCTATATACACATGAATAAAGATAATACATGAAGAAAATAACAATAAATCACTATAAATATGATTTTTAAAAATCACTTCTAATAAAAGAATATTTTTTAAACTAAAATATGCGTTCAAATAAAAAAGCAATTAACATGTGAGCCTTCACTTTTTTATTTTGACTCCATAATTCAAGAAATCATTTAAATTTATTTTGACTATTTGAATGTTACAAGGTTTTGATCACAAAAAAGAGAGAGTAAAGTGAAAATCTAAAAGGACTTTAGAGTTTCAAGGAGCGGGTACTAAATGAGTTGAAAAAAAAAGCTTACATAATTAATTTGATACATGTTCTTATAAATATTTCAATAAATAATATAATAAAAAAGAAAAACACAAATTAAGCTATGACTTTCATATTACTAATTTTAAAAAATGCTAAAATAAAATTTTCATAGTAATAAAAAGTTAAAAATATAAACATTGATATGAAATGGTTCAGTTGATTGACAATCTAATTATTACAGTTTCATACTAAATTCAATGATTCTTATAGAAACAATATTGGTTCAATCAAAAATATTAAATCTACTCAATCATATATTATGTGACTTTATTTTTGTATAAATGGCTGAATAATAAAAATAAATAAATAAATAAAGATACATTTATGGCAAATCATCGTGAGAAAGAAATATTTGTATCAAATTCTAACATAGTTATGCACGAAATTCAAAAGTTAGAGATATATTTTTTTCGATATTCGATGTTAGTACTAGCACTCATCTAATGTAATTTGTGTCTCATAAAATTCATTAATATTAATGTTTTGTAATTACACTCTCATTCTTGTTGAAACATTGCGAGAAGAGAGAATTAAGTTGCAATAGTGCAACATTACGATTGAGCTTATATATTTTACAATGAAAAATAAAAAAGTTAAACACAACATAAAATGAGATATAAAAGATAAGTCATGATATTATTTAGTGACTTGGTGTGTTACTTACCTAACCCAATTATATAGAGATTATCAAAGAGCGATTTGACAATATAAATATAATTATTTCTATTATGAAAATATTATCGAGATAATTATATTATAAATAAATTAGAGTAATAACTCTCCAAAGGATAACTCCTTCTTTATCATCGAAAAAATAAAAAAAAGGGTACTTTTATTTCCTTACGATAATAATAAATCTAATACACATTAATCATATATTCACATTAATTATGGTAAAAAGAAAAAAGAAAAAAAATATGACTCTTAGTATTCTTATTTACATCATATTATTGTTGAGAAAGAAAATTAATTTATATATATGATCTTTCTTAACATTTTTAACATATATTTGTTGTTGAGAAAATTAAATGATGGAATTTAAAGTTTTCTCTAAAGAAAAGAGAGTTATACGAATTATATATATATATATATATATATATATATATATATATAAAATTCCTAATTTTACTATACATATAAATTTGATAATTTTTTTAATAATACCTCTATTTATGGGACAATAATTTGGAATATCAAATGATATCCTAAACATGATTATTAATATAATTTTGAAGTTTGATCATCAAAAGTCATTTAAGTATGGAAAATAAAGATACTTAAATTTTTATATTAAAAAATATGAATCAATGAATGAATAGTAATTGATATATTCATTTTGTACAATATTAAAATATAAATAAGCAGAACAATTGTTAAAAAATTTAAGAAAATAAAAAGATAAATAGGATTCTTGGCCAAAGAAAATAAAAAATTGAGAACGTCAAATATTAATAATTAAAAAAAACACTAGAAATATGAAGACTACAAAAGTTTCATATCAATAAACATCATTTTATAAATTATATAATAATTATGAATTAACTTTATATTCTCATTATTCTACCATAATAATGATTAAAAGTTAATTTACATGACTACAAAATTATATATACATACTTTATTGGGTAACATACATGTTCATGTTAATTTTTTTCACCTTCTATTTTTAAAAATATCCTGACATTAAAACAAAATTAGTTCATCGTACAACAATAACAAAAAAATAATATAAAACTAAAGTTAACTAATCAAATAAAAACTCTAAAGAATATTTAATTGTGATTCAAAAATAAAGGAATGATCTTGTTACCAACATAACATAACCTAAATGTTCCATAAACTACAAAATGAAGAAGAAAAATTCAGAAAAAATCAAAAAGCTTTTTCTAAAAAAAATTGTTATTCACATTATCATGAATTCAAAAATAATAATATAGAATGTATAATTGCAACTGAGAAAAAGTGATAGCTATATTGAGCACATCAAATAATTTTACCTTGTATAATTAAACTGCACCAAATATGTCTAACAATCTTCATTATATAGATCTCTCTCCTGCAAAATCAAATCAAAGTAAACAAAAAATTAACCAACTAAAGATATAAAAGATGCAGAAAAAGGAAAAATGTTAAAAAATAAAATAATCATGACATATGTCTCAAAATAAGTTTTTATAAGTGTATTTTTAAAATGTCATGGATTTATATATCAAAATATTTTAGGGTTATGAATATAAAAAGTTTGGAGTTATATAAACATTATTAATATTTATTGAAAGTAAAATTATGTAATTAAAGAGGTAAGAAAATAAAATAGTTGAAAGAATAAAGAGAAAAATGCCAAAGAAAATAAAAAAAAAATAGGAATCAAAGTCGAGAGTGTCACATCATCATTTTCAAACCAAGCTTTATTATAATATATAGATTGGGGGTTGAGATTCACACTCATCCATTTGAAAATATAGATTGTGCAAAAAGTATGCATTTATTGTCATTTGAAATGTTTCGGGAAATAGAACAAACTCAAAAGTTAAAATATCTTTTTTTTAAAAAAAATTAGAACATCTTCGGGTGTCATTTTATATATTTTTAAAATACAATAGTATTTTATATTTTTAAGAAAAGAAAATAGCTTACTTGTAGAGTCTATTCTGACACAATTAAATAAGTATAACTTACATAAATCTCATTATGTAAGAAGTAAATAACATTCGAACCCTACTTTTTTTTTCTAATTGCAATATTCTATTAATTTTTACGCAATACGAATATATAACTCACAATTCGAATACATTAATGTTGATACATCATGTATCAAGTTGTTACCCTGAAAAAGGAAAAATGAAAAATTCAATTAAAATTTCATAAATTACGCTTACACGTTCAGTCATACACAAATTTAACAGTTTCAACAATTGGAAAAATTAAATTTCATCTTCCTATTCATTTTTCTTCATGTTCATCGAAGAACCATTCAAATTAGGTTTAAATTTGCCAAAAATTTAATAAGATAAATAATGAATAGCTATTTGACAAACAATTTTTTTTTGTGAGTCTCAAATCTAGAATTGCAGAAGGCCATGAGATAAGAAAAACTTGAAAATTTGATATATAGTAGAAGAAAATCACGAAAAAATGTTATTGACAATGAGATTCAAGCACTCACAAATTGTAACAGGATAGCACAATTCAAAATTCAAAATTCTTCTTCCCATTCTTCCCAAGACTCTCAATTTTGAATCAAAATTGTCAATAAAAATTCGAGATACATTAAAGATTAATACAACATTCTTCTTCCTATTCTTTGAAAAAAAACTCTCAGTTATCGACAACATTCTTCCTCTCATTCTTCAAAACACTCTCAATTTTTGAATCAAAATTTCGAGATATATTAGAGATCTGATACATCGTTGATGTGAAGAAATAAGAGCCTGAATTTTCAATATATCCGATATACATTAATACAACAAACAAAAATGTTGAAGAGATATATAGTTTTGATGGATCATCTATCCCTTTTATAGTGTTGTGTGATTGTTTATTGAGTTGTGTTTTCGAGATGGATAGATTTATCAATACATTATTATTTTTGTATATTGTTTGAATTGATAAGTGTTGTATTTCTACTAGATACATTAAATAAGTAATTGTTGGCCATAACATGTTGTTTAATAATTGTTATGTATCAGATACAATTAGTAGAATTCAAATTTATGTATCATGCCTAAAAATTAGTGCATGATACATTATTATTTATGTATGTTATTTTGTTTGAGAAATACTATATTTTAAAATTAAAAAAATATTATACATGTAATTGTTCCAAAATAGCTTTTTGTGTGTGTGTGATACATAACACAATATTTATGTATCAAGTACATTTATATTGAACATGATAAACACTAATCGAAGGTTCAACAACAACATAGTTATGTATCAATACC